AAACAACAAACAACAAACAACAAACAACAAACAACAAACAACAAACAACAAACAACAAACAACAAACAACAAACAACAAACAACAAACAACAAACATAGCTACTGCTACTTCTCACCTCACATAGTAGTATTGCTACTAGCAGTACTGGTTCTACTACTAGTAGTACCAACCAACAACTCAACCACCACTACTACTACTACTAGTAGTAGTACTAATACTAGTATTTGCTACATCAACACCTCCTCTCCCTCCTCCTACTCCATCCAGACACCCTTGGCACCCCAGGACCCTGCTGATACCCAACTAGGGGACCCTGACACCTGACCATCAGTAAAACAAACAAGTCAAGAAGAATTGTTTTATTTTTTTCATTCTTTACTCTACTATTTTTAAAAACCAAGGCAATACTTGTTACTTTGTCATACCAGCATGTATCTTCCAGTTCTAGTATCCTGTTTCTTACATACTGCAGCATGTGTTACCTGTACTCACCTAGTTGGCTACAGTGCACTGAACTGTCACCTACACATTTGCACAGGGGCCAGTAGCCTTGATGATTCTCACTGCTCTGGATTTACTGAAGAAACAAAAAGAAATTTGTTTTTTTTGGTGTAGAATACATGTAGACCTCAGTACCCCAAAATAGCAAATAAATCAGTACCATGACAAAAAACAGACAATTCATTTTTAAATATGGGTATTGTAATTTGGACAGAAGCACTTAAAGCAGTCATTTGAAAATTCCTATGATGTTATGTTCAGTACTTATTGCTGCTGTGATCAGACATTCCAAAATTTAAAAGAACTAAATTCCCCCCAAGAATGAAATAATTAGTCATTGTTGTCATTAGTCATTCCAAAATTTAAGAGAACCTAATTCCTACCAAGAATGAAAAAAAATAGTCATTGTCATCATTAGTCATTCCAAATTTAAGAGAACCAAATTCCTACCAAGAATGAAAAAAAAATAGTCATTGTCATCATTAGTCATTCCAAATTTAAGAGAACCTAATTCCTATCAAGAATGAAAAAAAAAACAGTCATTGATGTCATCACTACTTCCAAAAGTTAAGAGAAACAAATTCCCCCCAAGAATAAAAAATTTGGTCATTGCCATCATCAGTCATTTCAATATTTAAGAGAACCAAATCTCCCCCAAGACTCAACAAAATTGTAATTCTGAAATTAAAGAGAACAAAAACCTACCACAAATCAAAAAGATATAGTCCTTGTCACAAGTTGTTCTCATTCCAACATTAAAGAGAACCCAATTCCTCCCAAGAAGACTTCTTGAAAAATTCACAGACATATCTGTGACCAGTCATTCTGAAATTAAAGAGAGCCAATTCCCCCAAAAAATAGCACTACTTGTTGAATATTCAGTCATAAGTATCATTATTGGTCATTCCAAAATTTAAGAGAACCCAATGCCTCCCATGACTTGTTGGATATTCAGTCATTCTTGGTGTAATTGGTCATTCCAGAACTAAAAATAACCTGATCCCTTCCAAGACTTTGTTGTAGTAGTTGAAAAATTTAGCATTCAGTCATTGTTAGCATCACTATTGGTCACTCCAAAATTTAAGAGGACCAATTCCTTTTCAGCTCCTCAAAACTTGATAGAGCACCTCTTTCTACCAAGACAAGCAGCAATTGTGGGAGTGGCTATAGCCACAGCTTGCTGGGTGGTCCTATTGCACCCAACAACAGGCAATACTCATAGGGACAGCTTTGTCTTTGGCTACGATGGGCACAATGCACAAACCAAGACTGAGGAGAAAGACACTGCTGATCTCTTGTTGGACAAGTTTGGGTCCCAATACAAGAAATACTGCCAGTTCCTCTTACTAAAGTTGGGGAGCAGCAATGCAGAGCATACCAGCAAGGCCAACGTTAATGCTGATGCCAATGCCAAAGGCCTCCCTGGGATAACTACCACACAAATGAGGTGTTATTATCGTGATTGACCATTCCAAAATTAAGCTGGTTGGTTGTAGATGAAAGAGAACCCCACTCTCAAGACATGATAAATTCAGTCCCAAGCCATACAACAACCATCAAAACAGAAGTGGGAAAGAACACAAGACTAGCCAAAAAACATAATTTTAATGTCACACAAAAAAAAACTAAAAAATATCCAAGATTGTGGACCAACAGTGGTGTAAGGGGAGCTAGTACCATTAAAGAAGTCTCTGACAAAGTAGACTGTTTGTGTCTTTTCTTCTTGCTGGAGTACACATCAAAGACCAGATACTAGTCTTATGTAATGCTTTCCAGTGGGTGTCTACTGTGAGGCAGGGACGGAAAATACTGGGTAATAGGACATCGTGTGTTGGAGACAGGAGACATGAGTAATCAAGTCAGTACAGAAACTTGCAAGAATTGTGTTCTTGTACAATCGGAGGTAGTATGACATCAAATTACATACAAGTAGTAGCTTGCTGAGACAAGAAGGACAATAAATAAATGAGCATTTGAGGGACAAGTCTGTGGTTGCAGGGCAAACAGTTGCAGGCTTTTGTTGCCAGGCAGCCACCTTTGTTACAGTGCTTTTTTCTGGGAAAGGTGGTGGTCACAAAGGTCTTTACTATTGTGTTGATCTGGGAACAACACATTCCCAACATCCAGATTATTCATAATCTCCTTGACAGTGATGTTGATAAAGTAATCAACTAGAAGGAATGCCTCTCCTCTAAAGAAACAAATGTTGATTTCCGTGATGATCAATCTAAGGGCCCTCTTTCACTAAGTACTAATCAAACAACAAGAAAATCTTTTCAAGTGGTGGTAATAGTGGGAAATTTTACCAGTGATCAGCAGCAGATGCTTGCACTAAAACATATTGATATCAACATCACCAAAGTGAAGAAAGGAAGTATGCAACTTGAAACATTGAATAAGCATCCCAACTTACATGACATAATGATATCATAATTTGCTTGACTGGTAATTGACCTAGTAGCTATTGTTGTTTGTTGTATGTGACTTCAATCAACTCAAACTTGTGGGAGGAGACTCCCTCTTGTTGATTATTTTTGGTGGAGCCATATGGTGTAAATAGTATTCAAGGCAATGAAAAAAAAATTGCAGGTACCGGGATTGTGAAGTCATCAAGATTATTTTTATTTTTCCATCACTTACAGTAGTTCTTGCACCGTACCGGTAGTAAGTACGAGTAATTGCGTTAGCCAACCACTAGTAGTAATAATACCAGTAAAAAAGTTTCGCATGGATGCTACCCTCCCTACTCGTACGTACCTTCTATGCTGTGCCGGTAGCAGAGTTTTGTTTTTAATTGGATAGGGGACCGTAAGTAGAGAACCCTACGTAGAATTTCGAAAATCACGAGGGCAACAACAAAAGACTCACCTTCCACCATTCATGCATCGCGGTACGAGTTCTTACTGTTCCATCTCCAAATCGAAAACAAAGTTTCAACAACAATCGGGCATTAATCACAACAGAGATACTCATCGAAGAAGGATGAGTGCTTCAGCTGCGACAGTGATGCCTACTAATCACCTCTCGGGGGACGGGCAAACCGGTAGTCCTTCCACCGTTGCTGCCGCATTGCCCCTCACGACCAATATGACAGCCTCATCCTTGACGAGTGGTGGGAATTCTTGTTTGGATGAACAAATCGAACGCTTGAAACGGTGTGAATACCTAAGAGAAGGAGAGGTGAAGGCTCTTTGCTTAAGGGCCCGGGAAATTCTTGTAGATGAATCCAATGTCCAGAGAGTTGATGCTCCGGTTACGGTATGTGAAACATAGCTAGGCCATTAAAGTTAGGGTTATTATGAAGAACGATAAACTGTGTTTTCTCATCCCACCTGTTGTTTCCCTCATGAATTTCTCCGTTTTGTATTGCTTCGCCAACCAAACGCAATAACTTTTGGACCACCAAACAATAAAGATATGCGGCGACATTCATGGACAGTTCTACGATCTTGTCGAGCTTTTCAAGGTAGGGGGCGAGTGTCCCGACAAGAATTATTTGTTTTTGGGAGACTTCGTCGATCGAGGATATTACAGCGTAGAAACCTTTTTATTATTACTGGCTTTAAAGGTTCGGTACCCCGATCGTATAACCCTGATTAGAGGAAATCACGAGAGTCGGCAAATTACGCAAGTTTATGGATTTTACGATGAGTGCTTGCGAAAATATGGGTCGGTAAATGTATGGCGGTATTGTACGGAAATCTTTGATTATTTGAGCTTGTCTGCTATCATAGAAGACAAAATATTTACTGTCCACGGGGGATTAAGTCCTAGCATTAATACCCTGGATCAAATTCGTGTTATTGATCGTAAACAAGAAGTTCCACATGACGGTGCCATGTGTGATCTGATGTGGAGTGACCCCGAAGAAATCGATGGCTGGGGTCTTTCACCACGAGGAGCCGGATACCTTTTTGGGGGAGATATTGTTAGCATGTTCAATGAACGAAACGACTTGGATTTGATCGCAAGAGCTCATCAGCTTGTTATGGAGGGACACAGAAGTATGTTTAACGATGCATTAGTGACGGTTTGGAGTGCACCCAACTACTGTTACCGGTGCGGTAACGTGGCGGCTATTTTGGAATTGGACGAAAACCTTGATCGATCTTTCAAGATATTTGATGCTGCTCCACAAGAAGCGCGGGGTGTGCCAATCAAAAATCCTCCTCCTGACTACTTCCTGTAGAATAAAAAACTGTGTACTTCAATAGAAGAGTTGGGCGGCCAGAATCAACGTGTGTAAACAGTTTTAACCAACCAATTATCGTTTGATCAGAATCATTGGCTATGTCAGTATCGTTATGTCTATAGTACACTTTGTTTTATTTCAAAGCTAGCGGAGGTACGTGTAATATCTCATTGCCTATTGTTTATATCAAGGCAAAAAAATCAGTTGCGTACAGAGGGATTCCTGGGTACGTCCTTGGACCTCACTAACCCACCAGGCATTTCATGATGCAGTAGGAAAATCTTTCAACGCGTGGACCAAGGCTTTCGAAACCATCCTGGTCTTGAACTCGAGACTGTGTCTGCGTCGAGAGGTCGACTTTGCTCCCGATTGGTGCTTCCACCACCACCTCTGATAAGTTGTTTCTTTTCTTCTTCTTCTTCTTCCTCGGTTAGCGATTTGCGCTTCTCTGGTAGCAGCTCAGGGAAAATGGCCAAGAAATGATTTCCTGATTCCAACTGTTCCCCTGGCCTGACGTCTGGAAAGCGAGAGTCGGCACTGAGAATGTGAAGGGCTGGAGCTCGGTCAAACTTGGGGGAACCAAAACATGCCATCCTCCTCAGGACAAACGACGATGATGGAGAATCACAGTAGCCCTTTCCGTAAAAACTCCTCGCTCTAGCTTTCCTACTATGATTTTGTTTGTCTTCGTGGTTTTCGTCCTCCGGTACGTGCAGCTCATAGACGTGAATGGGTCGTTGTAGAACATTGCACAATGCTACAATCTCGGGTCCTCCTCCCCAGTAAGATTCTTGTCTCATCAAGTCACAATATTCGCAACCCGAAATTCCGTATTGTGCGGCTGCTGCCTCGACCAAATCGGTCGCCTTTAGGTATTCATGACCCTGGAGGAACAAAAGTTTTCGTCGTTCCTCGAGACAATCTACAGCGAGCTGTCGCAATTTGGCAGAATTCCGATAGAGCCATTCCATGGTATCGGGCGAAGTCATTTCTAAATGAGTACCATTGGTAGCATGAGCCCAAGCAACCGAAATAGAATGAAAAAGGCAATTTCCATCGCCAGGAACTTGGCGGATCGTCGCGGGAGAATTGTGGAGGCTGATTCGATCCTTCTTGCGTAACTTGACTTCCTTTTCCCATTCTCCCGAGACACGGTGATATTTCGGTAGAAGGAAACCATTTTCATCGATGTTGGAAGATGGGTTCCAAGGAGGGTAATGGCCATGCAAGTGTCCAACCCGATCGGTGGATCTTGGAATTGATGAAGACGAAGAGGAGGATGAAGCATCCGTAGTTGTGATGCATCCAACAAACAAAACCGTAGTGCTAAATGCTATTGCCAATAGCAGATAACGACCTAGCCGCCCATGCATCATTATAATATTACTGTGTATGTGGTTGTTCGTTACTGCCACAGTTCAAAGAGAAAAGTTTCAAAGAAGTTTTTTGGTTCTTTCTTCCGAAGATATTGCAAGAATCGGTTTTCTTGACGGTGGTTGAACGATGTTGAATGTGATGGAATGTTATCGCACTTGGTGGTTTGATTTTGAAAGCTGAGAAAGAAGTCTTGATATTGAGTTCTCAGATGATTTCAACAAAGGATTGGTAATGGTTTATGGTATTCACCTTCATTCGGTAGAACGCACGGAATCCTGACAGGAGGCAGGAATGGTCTGGAGGAAATCGATGTCAAAAGTGAGTTGGAACGAAGAATTTGATGAACGTTTGTGACAGTTCATCTGTTTTGCGCAACGTATTTTTGGTACTTAGAAGATTGGTAGTACGCCATGCTATCGTACGGTACGGTGTCCTAGAGGAACTTTGTCGTACTGGTATGCTACTGGTTCCTGAACGGTTTCATCCTTCCTACAAATACTGTTTAAAGTAACGATAAAAAATTGTTGAATCTCGTGGTTGGGTGAATCTCACTCATATTACGGTACCGTACAATACGCAGGGGTACGATACGTACGGTACGCTACCTACGGTATCACCCTCTTCATGCGTCGTCGTGTCGCTTCGTACCGTACGTACCGGTACGGTATCTGCTAAATGATACACATGTATTTTTTACCGTTGTTTTGACTGTATATTATATGGTACATATTTCCGTACCCCTCATATTTAGTAGTATCAAAATTTTTCTGTGTACATTTCTACGGTGCTGATGTATGTACTTGTATTATTTTATTAACTACCGGAGTCGCCTAATAAGTATAATAACCCACCGTATAACTGCTAACTGAAATATACAAATAATGATACACACTCCCACATACAAGGGACTGAATGGAGTCGTTGGCGATGATTATTTTCTAGTAGTAAATTTGTGTAGGATTTTCACGTAGCAGCTCCCCCCTCCCCCCCTCCGCAAACAGCTTATTTTCATTCTATCGAAAAACTCAGTTTTGCAAGCCACTTGCCCATGGTGTTCCCTCCATTTGAAGCACTTCTACTCAACCTTAGACAACAGGACTACCACTGTTGCATCCCTCGTCTCCATTGTCGATTTAACAAGCCCTTAAGTGTTTGAAAGGACCCATTATAACCTTTGTTTTGTCCAGTTTAGTGGTCGTTGATACGATACGACGCCTCGCACCAAAAGAACAACAAGAACGCGGCAAGCACAGCAAGCAGCTACATGGAGGAGGCAAGCAGCAATGCCACCAGCAGCAACGCTGATACGAGCAACGCTGATACTACGAGCAACGCTGATACGAGCAACGCTGGTGATATGAGCAACGCTGGTGGTGATACGAGCAACGCTGGTGGTGATACGAAAAACGCTGGTGATACGAGCAACGCGGCAAGCAGAACAAGCAGCAGGAACAGCAGGAACAGCAGCAACGCKGCAAGCAGGAGCAGCAGCGACGATGGAGGGCAAGCGCTAGCAGAACTGGCAAGGCTTATGGCGAATGATCCAGACTTATTCATGCCATCAGAGGATGATTCCAACAGCAACAGCAACAACAACAGCGACCCCCCCTCCAGCAACGCCAGCAACCCCCCCCCCTCCAGCAACGCCAGCAGGAAGAGGAAGAGGAGGAAGAGCACCAAAAAGAAAAAGAAATCGACAGCAGGGAGGAAGAAGAAGAGGATCATTCCAGATTCAGACTTAGGTGTCA